AACCACAAGAAGCTTCCACAGACTCGGCTTCAAAAAGCTCTCGTCCCTGGAGACCTGCCGGCCCACAAGCCCCTGCTGCTCCACTCACAGTCCTTAATGTCCCAGAACTGGGTCTTCATACATGGTCCTCTCAGGGTCACACACACACACACACACACACACACACACACACACACAGAGAATCCCAAAATGTCAGCTGCTCCATTATCCCTTACACATGGCTTAAATGTGATAGGAGGGAAACAATGGGCTGCTGAGAATGGAGGTCATGGAAGGTGCTGTGACACAAAGTGCTATCAGACCTTTACTATCATCATCGACCTTGGAGCCAGCGGAAGCAAAAGCAATACTATGACCAAGTTGTAAAATTTGATACGGTGAGGTAGTCACATTAATTTGGCATTGGCTCAATAATGGATATGCCGTTTTATATCTTTTTAGTAGCTCTTTAAGGATATGTAGCTGAGGAACAGCAATTTCAAGTAAGCTGAGAATTCCTGAAATGATATTTCAATTGGGAGCTGGGGCAGGAGGCAGCCCTGTGTTCGGGGCTGTACCAGCCTGGGTGGAGTTTGTCTTGAGCTGGAAAGGGCGAGGCAAGAGGATCTTGATACTCTCACTTTTCTTCTCTACTTTAGTAAATAGTTCTTGATTACAAAATATTTTCACTTACTGTATACCTTAAGGATTATTTTTAGAGACTTTAAGTGATTTTTCAAAAAGAACACACAATTAATGTGTGTTGAATGAATGAAGAAATAAATTACAGTAATAACTTTGTGAGCATAATTCATTCTGGAAAAAAACTACTCGTATTGCGAGACATCACTCATTTACCATATTAAAATGTATTAGAAATGTTTGCTCGCCTTGTGGAATACTTGCAAACCAAGTTACTCGCAATCCAAGGTTATACTCTATTTCCTTTCTATTTTCCTGGTGATAAAATAGCCTTTCTTCTGTGGAATTGTATTTGCAGTAACTGACAGGCTACTTGAAAATCTTTCTTCTGGAAAAATAAAGTATATAATTATTTCTCAATAATTTTGTTGACCTACAATATCTGTGTGTAGGAATATATGGACAAAATGATCCATTAAAGACATATAATCCTGTGATCCATCAGACACTGAGTATGGATGTGTTCAAAGTCCTTTAGACAAATCAGAGCAAAGATGTTTTTCCTCTGAGATCTTGTAAGGCAGACACCTGGGTTCAGATACTGAAAACCACATACTTGCTAAGTATGTGACCTTGGCCAACTTGCTAACATACCATGAGCCAATTTTCTCATCTATAAAATAAGAATCTTGCAACCTCACAGGATTGTGGTGGCTTTAAAGGAGAGAGCAACATATGGAATCACACAGGGTCTGGAAGAAGAATGTGCATAATATACATTTTTTTTAATTCTTTGTTTATTAAGGAACTTATACTATTTATGTTTTCCAGCAGAGTGAAGTAATGATATTAAAAAATTTTTCAGTGGCCTGGCTGCCTAAAGATTTTCTCAAACTTTTCTGGGAAAATTCTCCCCTTTGTAGGCTGGCCCCTGGATCCAAGAATCTCTTTACAGACAACAAGAGCAATGTTTGCTTCAACTTGGGTACATTTTTACTAGAATGAGGGGAAACTTGAACAAATCCTCATGTAATTGCACTGACAGATTTTTGTTTGTTTGTTTGTTTGTTTGTTTGTTTTTGGAATAACAGCAGGCTTCCTGACAAGGCCCGGGGACCACAAGACCAAGTCAGATCCCCACTCCCAGAGGCTTACCCAGGCACAAACAACAAATGAACTCCAACTAACCTTGATGGGAGGCCTGAACCAAAATTTTCCTCTACCCAGAAACTGTTTGCAGGTCTGGTCCTTGTGAACAATATTCAGAAGTTAGGGGTGCTGAGAAATGTGCACTTAGCCAGGCACCTGGATCCCACCCAATCAACCCTTGCCAACTTGGAAATCCTTTACACTTTCTCTCACCTCCCCCATTTCCTAAATGACATAGTTCCAAGGCTGTCCAATTAACACTCCCAAATTAGAATTAATAAATAGGTATAGTTTCTTT